TGTCAAATGGAGCAGCTAAAATGCCAAATTTATTTTCTCTCCTTTATGATTGTTTTTATAACTTTTTGCCCCAATTTTGCATGCTTCCATCTGGTAATCTGAACAACTAATTTTTTTTTTTTTTTACTTTTATGCTGGATGGTTAAGACCAAGATATAGCAAGACCTATATACCAAGAAATGTAACTTTTGTATCTGATAAAGTCAGCCAAGTACTCTCAGTATTTATCCTGTAGCCCTGTACCGCCTTTTGTACATTCTTTTTCAATGTCTGACATGAGGATGACTCACAGCCATTGCTTGACCAATTTGCTCTCTGTGAAAGCTTGAGAAAATGTTTTTTCTCTCCATGTGACTCTCCCCAGGCTCACTTTAGATCATCGAACACATTTCTCTGTGACTCCATAATCTTCTTGATCAGAAAATTTGGAGCACAATTGAGTTACATGTTTGAACAACTGAAGACAATATGCAATTGTTAAATTTAACTATTGTTAAATTCCTATCATTTCTTTAGTAAAATTGTGTATCATTTCTGTATTTTTAACTATTTTTGTTCTCTTTAAAAATAAAAAGTAAAGAGCACAAAAAATATAATTATAATACAGCCATAAAAAAGTCCATGAGTAAGAAGTTTCTCCAACCTGTTAAAATTTTCCTTTCAGATAGCAGTATGTTACAAATAGATCTCAAATAGATCTAGCACTAGTTTCTTTGGTCTCTGCTGATGAGATTTTTCTACTTGAGTTATTTCAAAGAGTAGAAGGGGAGTCCTGCTCTAAATTGGGAGGGTGGTTAGGAGAGATTGCATGCAGTAGATCTTGACAGGCATGCTGGTCATTGCCTCTCTTTTAAGAGGTGACCTGATTTCCTGTTTCCAAATCTGGGATGAAAATAGAGATTATATCCAATTATGACTTCTACTTCCAGTTAAGGGGCACCAGAAGTGGGCTCCTACCACCACATGGAGTCTTTATAATGTAGCAAATATGTATAAATTCTCCTGATGGACAGGGCACAGACTATAGAACGTCTCATACTTTTATTCTTTCTATATAAATTTTCTCTAGAAAGACAATGGCTTAGTCTTGGCCATACAAGGCATCCTCAAGTCAGTTTATAAAGTCATTCTGCTCAAGATGAAAAAATATTGTGATATATAAATAACCAAGACTCTCTTGACCACAAGATTGTTCGAGTCCTTTCCCTAGCTCCTCAACTAACTTCAGTGTCCTTCTCACATGAAGATGGTAACATGAACCCAACAATTGGTAGGACTTGAGCTTTTGAGTTATTTTCCTATTGGCACAAAAGGAGATATGACTAGTGTGGGAATAAAATTTGAAAGGACGCATTCCATTGAAGGTATTCATATTTTTATGGAAGGTAGAACTAAAATTTTATTTGAATTTTTTTGAAGTATGGAATACTTTTAAGATCACCAGAGATAGAGACCGTTCCTGCACTGTAAGCCAGTACTAGTCAGTGGCCTGTTAGGAACTGGGCTGCACAGCAGGAGGTGAGCAAAAGGTGAATGAAGCTCTATTTATTTATTTATTTATTTAGTATTTGATTGTTACAGGATCTCATTACACAGCTCGGACTTGTGGTGATCCTCCTGCTTTCAGCCTTGCCAGCACTGGGATTACAGGCATGTGCCACTATGCCAGGACTCTGGTCAGCTCAGCTTGCACTGGAGGTGGGGCTGGTGCCATGTGTGGTGCCGAGGATTGAACTACAGTCCTTGTGCTTGCCTTATCTTGCCTAAGCAGGCACTTCAGTCTTCTGAGCTATCTTGCAGGCTCCATTTTTTTTTTCTTTTTTTCTTTTTTAAAGAGAGCTCCTCATCACAGCCTGACCTATACTTCCTATCAGATCAATGGTGGAATCAGACTCTCACAGAAGACCCGACTGTGAATTGCATCTGCAAGGGATCTAGGCTGCATTCTCTTTATAAGAATCTAATCTGAGCACTACCCCATTTCTCCCCACTGTGCTTCTGGAAAATGTTCTTCTGTGAAATATGTCAAAATGTAGATAATTGACATAAGTTTTAAGTGGTAAAACGAGCTGTCCCAGAAGTTTTGTTACGCAGAATTAGATGGTATATATGAGAGGCAGAGCTTCTATAGTCGTAGATACATTTGCAACTTGGATTTACTCCAAAGTAAAATATTTTGATGTTGTTAATATGCGTGGTATTTGTCAGAAGATGTGTTACTTCTTGAATTGCTTCCCAAGGTGCATTTGAGAACAATTGATTATTTGATAATTGAGGTAGTTAGGCATCCCAATGACCCACATTACCCACTCAGCAATAAATTTGTGAGAGAATGAATTGGTGGATACTTTAGATTGAATAGTCATGGACATTTAAACTGAGATTTAAGTTAGAAGAAACAATCGTTTATAGATGCAGGAAAATATTTACATGTAAGGTACATGCAAATGCATCAAAGCAGGACTGAAGTCAGGCATGGTGGTGTGTGCCTGTAACCCCAGTGTTCTTGGAAGCTTAGACAGGAATATCCCAAGTTCAAGCTCATTATGAGAAACTTACATGCAGACTGTAAAGACTAGCACCTTTCTAAAAGCACAACGTCAGCCAGGTGTGGAGGCACATGCTTGTAGTCTGGTACTTGGAAGGGTTAGACAAGAGGATCACCACAGGTTTGAAGCCATCCTGGGTTATGCAGTGAGTTCAAGACCAGCCTGAACTACATAGCGAGATCTTGTCTCAATAAAACCATAAACAAACAAACAAACAATCAATATCTTCACCAGTCACCTTTATTTTCTTTTCTGGGCAGGCTTATCGGATACCACAGGTGGTGAGTAAAGTGGAGGGAGGGGAGGTCCTGTGGATGATTAAATTTGCCCAGTAATACTGTTCATAGGACCTAGGCAGCCTCAAAGTTCAAAGGGGGAGGGACCAGGAGAATTTGTGTTTATTGTGTGAGGGGCCATGGATTTTACATACCTAACCTCTCACTTCACTCTCTGGATAATGATAACTTGTGGGGCACCTCTATTAACTCATGATGTTAAAAATTATAAAGTAAGATCTTCTCCAAGAGGTTATTTTGTTCTAAGTCACAGAGCCTGGAAGTGGTACAGCCAGCCTGGGAACCAGAGTCAGGTTCTCTGCACTCCCCACTCGGCTTTTTTCCTCTTTCTTTTTTCTTGATTAGCACACAGCTTCCGCCCAAGAACTTATCTTGGGGAGGAGACGATGTCCCTTTCTCTCCTGCGCTACTTTGGCCTCCTGTGCCACAGAGTACCCGGTGCAGGGCACTCTACCTGGAAGTGGAATTCCCTTCCTCCTCCTGCTGTTCTGGCTGGGTAAGCGTGGTGAGGCGGATGGAAGCTGGGCTGCCAGTCCACGGGGAGAAAAGACTGTGCTGCCGGTGCACTGCCCCGAAGGCATTTTCCATTTCCGCTCCCCAGGCCGCGCCCCTTTCCCCACAACTTCAGCTCAGGCCCCTTGGGGGACGTCCCTGGCCGCCGGCTGACAGCACCGGGGGCACGGGGTCTCGTCTCTGCGCTCTCGCCCATCTGTGCTCAGAGCCTCGTTCCGGGCGCCTGGAGCCCGGCGGGCATTGACGTCAAGCGGCAACTGAGCGCTGCCTACAGACGGCTGACCCGGGCCCTCCTCCACACCCCCTTCCTTCCTCGCCCCCTCCCTCTTCCCCATACTCGAGAGCTCCGCTCGCTATAAAAGACGGGAGAGCGGGGTGCCCCAGCAGCGACTGGTTTCAGCACCATGGAGAGCGCCCGCCTTCGGCTGCTACCCTTCCTGGGCGCCGCCCTGCTCCTGATGTTACCTCTGCTGGGCGCCCGAGCACAGGAGGACGCTGAGCTCCAACCCCGAGCCCTGGACATCTACTCTACCGTGGAGGATGCCTCCCACGAGAAGGAGCTGGTCGGTATTCCCCTCACTGCAGAGCCCCTCGGGCTACCACGCGGTCCCTTTGAACGCGCCCTCCCTCCTAGCCCCATTCCCAGGGTCAGAGAATGGGGAGCTGGGCGAAAAGCCCTCGCACCCTCTGCCATCGGAAGATCCACTGGAGCCCGTGGGCTCCGGGCTGTCTGTCAGGGGGGTCAGATCAAGGCCCACCTCAGCAGCCCCAGGACCTGAGGTCGGTCCCCTGGACAGTGCCCACAAAACTGCTCTTGCACAACCCGTCGCCCACTAAGTCCCACAGAGAGAGTGTGTGGGTCCCGGGCTCCTAACTAGGGCTGGAAGTGAGCACCTGGGCTGGGCTTGCAACCAACGCGGCAACTTCGGGCTCTGGGGCGGTGTATTGCAGATTGAAGCGCTGCAGGAAGTCTTGAAGAAGCTCAAGAGTAAACGTATTCCGATCTATGAGAAGAAGTATGGCCAGGTCCCCATGGTAAGACTTCGGTGTCACTCCTTTCCTATGTTAAGAGAAAATGCACTCCTTGAGTAGGACACACAATATTTACTCAGGATGTGGCCATGTAACTGGGGTCATGGGCTTTAATTGTTTTATTAGGACCCCTTGTCTTCAGGGCCAGCTCTTGTCCCTTGGTCTCTCAGTGCACACAGGATAAGTTGGAGGTTTGAATGGCAGTGCTAGGAACTAGTTCTATAATCTGTGTGGGAAGGAATATTTTCCAAAGATGAGCATTGTTTCACCTTAGGAAGAATTCTTGGAGTCGGAGGAGCCCTCGAATCTACTCGGTTCCTGCTTCCCTTATTCTTTCCAGAGCACATTCAGTGTGTTTTAAAAAGTCTAGGTTCTGGGGGTCAAAATTTCATGGCTGGTTCACTTTTCTTGGATAATTCTGGGTAAAGGGCAACACACACACACACACACACACACACACACACACACTTTTACTTTCTTGAGATGGGATGAGGAGGTGTGGAAGCAAGGAACAAAGACTGTGAGAAGATGTAGGTATATTGTTTCTTTCAAAGTCTACTTGAAAATTTTCTCTTTGGCTAAGCAAGAAGAGAAGACAAGAAATGTGATCCCTCAGGCAGGTGGCAGAAAGTACTGTAGAGAGAGACCAATTGCTTACACTTCTTTGTGAAAATATCCTCTCCCAGAAAGGATAAGCACAGGTTTTTCTGTGTTCCAAGCCTGGCTACCCTGAGACTTCTGTGGATGATGTGGGGTCTGATTATTCCTCTTGAGAGGCAGAGAGTGGTTGGTGGGGAGACACGCTAAGTCCCGCATGCACTTGCCCACAGGGACTCTGGTGACCACAGATTGTATTGTTTGCAGTGTGATGCTGGAGAACAATGTGCAGTGCGAAAAGGAGCCAGGATCGGGAAGCTGTGCGACTGTCCCCGAGGAACCTCTTGCAATTCCTTCCTCTTGAAGTGCTTATGAAAGGGCATCCATCCTCCTCCATACTCCCCAACTTCCCTCCTTACTTACCTGAGAGGGTCACACCTTCATCGCAGAGTTTGGTGTTAGCAGCAAATAAAGTTGCGTTTCCCTCTGAGGGTGAAGGGGGCTCTTTTCTTGCTGTTTCAAATATAAAAGAACACATTTGATGTTACTATGTGAAGGATAATGCCAAGTATGGTGTTGATCTGTGTGCAAAGTACTCCTTTGTTTTATTTGTCTGATGAACTCTTGTGTACCTTTGTGTAAAGAAAAGGAAACTTGCTTTGAAAACTGTATTTTTGTATGTGGCATGGCAGAGTGAAAATTAGATCTAGTTAAACTTGGTAGATGACATCACAGCCTGGAAAATAAATAATCCTAAGTAACATGAATTGAAGCATGTACAAATATTACATAATAAAGTGTTTTTAATAATTGCTCCTTGTGCACTGTCCTTTTTACTTAAGCAATTTAAGTAAGAATGATGAGATTAATCATGCTGTTGTTTACAAAGAGAAATATTTTAAAAATAGCAGTCTATGGGGAGAACAGCACCTTAGCTCCAATGAGTTCTGATCATTAATTAGGAGTCTAGCACACCAGCTTCAGTGTATTACATTTTTCTTTGATTGCAGTAGTGGGAGCGCTCTCTCTCTCTCTCTCTCTCTCTCTCTCTCTCTCTCATTCTCTCTGTGGTGGAGATGTTGGACTTGAGGTGATACTATTTTATTTATTCAAACCTTATTTAGGCTGGGGAGATGGCTCAGTAGAATAAGTGCTTCCCTGGCAAGCACAAGGGTCTGAGTTCAACCCCCAGTTCTGAAAAAAAACAAACAAACAAACAAACAAACAAACAAAAAAAAACAAACCTTATTTAGACTCCTTACTTTTAGCAGTAAGGCATGTTGGTATAAAATAACAACTGTTTGAAAGGAAATAAAAGGGTGGTTTATTCAGAGCCAGATCTGAGCGCTCATGACCTGGATATATAGTTTGAAATCACCTTGAATGGAATGCTTTGAAGTGAAAGAGAGTATGTAAATTTTTAGAGCTGCAGACCAAAGAAAGTAATAAATCAACATCCAATAAATAGATTGGTGAAAACATTGGTAAGGAAATTCTAGCAAAGTGGGGAAATCTTATCTATAGGTGTGAGATGGTGTAGCATTCTTAGCTTTACAGTTGGCGGAAGGTAGATGTCGTCTAAGCTTAGCAACATGTTTTGAGAGTTTATCTAATAGTCGTAAGAATGTAAGGAGACAAAAGTTAAAAATACATGGCTAATTGTTATACATGAAAGGATATGTGGCTATTTTTCTAAAGAGCCTGAGATAATCCAGGTAATTTGGCTTTACAGTGCAACATTTCATTTTCCCACAATTTTCTTAGTGTTCTACTCAACTGAGGAGAGACAGACTGTAGGATCTTTAACATAGGTGCAGCTAGCTTCCCAGAGCTCCTGCATCACAGACCAATAGAAGATAAATTGTTTCAGACTTCCATACTAGACACAGTTTGAAAAATCAGGACTTTATTTTGACATCTTCTCTATTAGAAGGTTTTTAATAGCCTCTTTGAGGTTTGCCCTAAGAAAGGAAAATCACTGTATTAGGTGTTTTAAGAGCAGGAGATCCATTCATCTCCACCAGTAAAATATGCATTTTGGAAAAATTCTCCAATCAAGAAAAAGTTATTTAAGTAATATTTTGATACAAGCCATGTGTGGCAACTTGATACACTGATAACAGAAAGTAATACTGATGCAGGATCACAGATTTACGGGAGAAACTTTTAATTGGGAAAGGACAGAAATTGGAAAAGGGGCTTCCACCTGAGTAAAAGAATAGCTGAAGGAGACCCAGGTCTACTGCAGGTCAGACAAGGCCCTTAATGAACGAAAGGGACCAGCTTTTATGGCTTTGCTGGGCCCCTGGGTCTCATGTTTCAGGGGCTTTCTTCCTGCATAAAAGATGGCTCAGTGCTCAATATTCTTGTCCTCAGAGACACTGAGGAGCACATCTGGACCTTGCAGTACAGAGTTGGGAATACTGGGGGGCAGATGCTAGGTAGGATGGGGGGAAAGGAGTTATTTCCACCTTTAGTGGGTCAGAATGAATGGGTTAGGCCTAAGAAGGCAAGTCTCCTGTCCCATGGGGGTGCCTGTCCTATCTCAGTTTTGAGAGGAACAAGTGAAAATTAGTGGGGGGAAATTCAACTCAAGACTATAAAAAAATTAAATATTAAGCTTAGTAATTCTGAAATGTCTCTGAGTGCTTAGTCACAGTCATAGGTCCAAGGGTTTAAACCAGATAAGTAATATTTTTTTCCATTATCCAAAAATACTTTTATATTTATTTTTTTAAATGCAACATACACTTTATTTTGAATCATTCACAAATAAGTTGAAAATATAATATCCATATTACCTATAAATATTTATGTACTTCCAAACAAAGCAGAGTTTTGATTTTTTTTTTGTTAGGTAATATTAAAAAGCAGTATCATAGAGAAAGGCATGCTAACAGCTTCCTAATCCAATTCCAAGAGGCACCTGCGGAACAATAGAACCTAAACATAAAACCTCTCCATGGGTTCATGCGGAGACAGGAAGCGCTGGCTGGAAATATTTTCATGTTAAAGTACCACTCACAGTTTTCTTATTGTTGCCATCAGCATGCCTAATCTTACTAATCTTACAAGACAGGTGTTACTACTTTTCAGAGTAGGAAACAGAAGTCAAGAGAGATTATGGAACTTGTTTAAATCACACAGTTCTAACTCACGATGTCAGCTTTAATCCCCCTGGCCACCTTTGTCTTTCTCTCTGTATCTCTCTGGGCATTCAAGAATCTGTGGACTCTTTCATTAATAAAAATGACCTCCCTGAGGGTCTATGTATTTTTTTTGTGGTTGCATTTCCACTTGAATTCTTTGTCAGGCCTGTTTGTGATTAATCCGTGGCATGTTTTAATCTTTAAACACTGCAAAGAAATATTTGATATTTCACAGTTTGCTACTTTTCCAGAAGTTATTTCAGCTAAGAATCATAATGTTGTTGATTAACTTACCCATTCCTATCCATGTCTGTCCTAAATAAATCAGATCAGGAAATTGTTTTGACCTCTGATGAGCACACAAGCAGGACCCTCAGGGATAACACTAGGACTGCTTTCCTTTAAGCCTGAAATATTTCTCCAAACCAAGAAATACTGGGGGAAGGTATAGCTCAAAGAGTGGAATACAAACATGTCTACTTCACCCCCCAACCTCTGCAATATCTTCTCTTTTATTTTTTAGTAAGGCTAAAGGGTACCTGGACTCTCTTTCCAGCCTAATAAATTTAAATCTGAGATGAGGAGTAAATTAAGATAGGATTGTGTAGGTTAAATAAGATCTTTGAGGGGTTCTGGTAACCTTTCTGCCCTAGAGCCTCGAGAACCCTGAACTAGTTTTCATATAACTTCACTCATTAATTTGCTTCACACTTCTCTGAGTGCCTTCCACTGAGAAAAGGTCAGTTTTGATGGGTGTAGACAGAAGGAAGGAAATGACAGGGAGAGAGCTTCAGGCAGCAGGTGTAGCCCATCCAGAAGTTCAAAGGCTGAAGAGATGTTGGCAAATTTTAGAAACTGAAAGATGACTGTGGGCTTAGCACTGAATCTCACATAGCGGGAGAAGTCCACATGGCTACCGCTGTGTCTTATTCTTTCCCCCAGGTGCACAGTGTTACTTTGATCAGCTGCCAGGTGGAATGAAACAGATGTTTATTGATGAGGAACATCACAAAGGAAGCAGGCTGGCAGTGCGCGGGATGGTCTCCTGCAGCCAAAGCTCTGTCTGCTTTGTCTCACTGGTGATGAGTGAAATGCTTCCCTCCCTGATTACTGTACATTTATGATTTATTTCCCTTACCTTCCCATGCAGGAGGGTTTTTCCTCTTGATGGTCTATGAGCACACCTGTTTTAGCCTGAGAAGAATTAATGTAAACATTTTTGGATAGTTTCATCTGATCTGAGAAATCTGAAGAAAAGAAGAGGTCAGAAATTTATAGGAGATAGGACCTGTTAATGGTGTAGGGCCCTTGGAAGTAACAAGAGGATGATGAAACTCAGAGCTAAAAAAATGATTCATTTTGGGCGGGCACATAATGCAAGTACTTTAGAGGTGAGTGACAGGAAGTGGGGATTATTATTTTATAACTTCTGAAATCCAAGGAAAATAGGATATAAAGTTTGCTGAGGAGAGTAAACACATAATTCATGCCATCATTATAGCTACTCAATATAAGAGTTGATCACAGGCAAACCTGTACCACAGAATGACACATTTATCATCATAATACATGACTAAGTATGAGACAGAGGGAAAGAAATTTGGAGGGTACAAAAGTTGAATTGTCAAGGATAATAGACAAAGTGGTGTTTAAGTACTCTTCAAAGGATGTGTACTATTTCAAAAGGTAAAGGTTAAGGAAAATTTTTTGAAGCTATGAGAAACAGTATGCATGAAAATCCGCAGGGGAAACAGAATACTGTTAGACATAACTTGAGAGCTGGCTGCATTGATAGGTGTAGCAGCATGGAGAGAGAGGAAAGGGTAGACTGGATCATGAGGGTGTTGAAAGCTTGGATAAGGGATCAAGTTTTAATTTTGTGGAGGGAAGAGCTGCGCTGGGAGAATCTCAATCTAATGGCATACCACAGAGGGACAGAGAGGGAGGCCATGGGACAGAAAGACCAGGCAGAAAAATAAAGCACTACTCCAGGAAAGAAGAGCTGAGTGTCCACATGAATGAGGGAGAAGGCTAATGCAGCGGTTGCTCAGGGCTCCTAAGGTCCCCTCTTATGGTAAAATGGCATTGGAGTAGGATGGGGACAAAAGCTAGATTCATCCTATTTTCAACAATTCAAAATTTAGGCTTGATACACATATATTAAAATATCAAGTTTATTGAAATGTAGTTTGCATACAAAATTCATCCTTTGAAGTGTACGCATCTTACATTTTTAGTGTTTAAACCCTCTTTCTTTGATGAGATGCTGGTGGAAACAGATGGTAGTTGTTTTCCTAATGTTTCTCCTAACGAAACAAAAACTTGGCATGTCTATTTTAGGATGGCAAAATTTTGGGGGGAAATTTTTCTGATATTGAATATCTAAAAATCTGAAGAAATTGAACTGGAGGAGTCTGATAAAATAAGGATTCTGACCGATTGGAAGGATGATTGACGTTGGAGGAAGGAAGTCTAGGAAGTGACCATTTCAGGAGGGAGGGAACTGGAGTCTGGCACTGCTAAGGGACCCAAAGGTCTCTTGCAGCCTTCTGGGTCCCATGCCAGTCCCTGCCTTGGGAGCAAGCAGCCAGCTCTGTCTCTCATTAGCAGGGCCTCAGCTTCACACAGGCAGCTTATCTAAGATTCTCTTTCCAGCTGAGAGATT